AAGCTTCGCATGGACCCTTCTTTCCAGACAACACACACACGCAGGAAAAAAGGACAAATTATTTAACAGGCAGAAACCACCTTACATATTAATAACCAAGCTAGAAGACTGGCAACTGAAAGTCAAAAACTGTCCTTATGCCTGGAGGAATCAGAGTTAGCTAGGAAGTAGCACAGGCTCATGATCCCCATGCCTCGAAAGCCTGGTGATTTTGGGGAAAATAAAAAGGCTCCATGGTCATAACTTTTCCTTTATGCTGGCTCCTGGATGCTTCCACATATGGCTGTGTAGATCAGAATGTTGACATCCCAGAGCTGTCTTCTTCTAAAAACTGAATAATTGACTTGGAAGACAAACACCATCCAGCCTTGGGTTGTGGAGGAAGTGTCCATTTTCATGTGAAGAGAAATGAGACCGAATTTTGCCATGATGAGTAACAGAGATACTTCAACTAAGGAGATTAATATATCTGCTTTTCTATATGTTGAATAAATTTGATATGGAATTCTCTGTGGTTGAGTAGCTCCCCTGTTCTTCAGACCTCTCCCCACTGCCAGGCTACATTGAATCCATTTGACTACGAAGGTGGATTGTTCATTACAATTTTACATCAGAGGAAGATAAAGCCTTAGAAATGATTATAAGTTTAATCATAATTAAAAAGGCAAAATCCAGACTTGAGGATTTTGTGCCATTTTTAGGAAGTGAGTAAAGAGGAGACCAGGACCAAGGATTTTGTTCCCATTTTAATGACAGTCACATGCTAGATACTGAAACAGTATTTGGCAGCACAGTGTTTTGTTCCAGTTTTAATACATTTATTCTGTCTACTTGTAATTTAATTGTTGTGGAGGAGCACAGAAGTAGTGTCAATCAACTCAAAATAGGGCTCCCTTTTATTTTGAGATTCCTAATGCAGACGTTCTGTTGTATGGTTTTAACCATGTTTTTTTTATTATGTGTGTCCCCCTCCCCTTTTTTCCCCCCCTATTGTAGTTTATTCCATGGTTTGACGAAACAGCTGTGGGACCTTGACTTTGGAGAAGCCGAATTTAATGAAGAAGAAAAAAAAAGTTGTTCTGGACTTGAATAAATTATACTGCACCTTGTAAATGATCTATCCTGGTCATGAAGGAAAGGGGAGGGGGGGAGGGGGAAGGTAAAGATTCTCAGTTCAAGTAGCACATGGTTTAAATAGGAATGAATGAACTTGTGATCTAGTCCTTGTCTCGTAATTGTGGATTAATGTCAGCGTTAATCAGCCCTTCAGCGGGAGAAGAAAGCCTGGTCTTTTCCCTAGCTGTGCCGTGTTCAGCTCCTGATTTCCATGGCCTCCACCATTTATGTGTCAAATTTGAAATGGTTGTCACCTCTCTCGAAGGAGCCAGTCTGAAGACTCAGCACCAGCTGTGGTGGAGGCCCGGCTGGCTTCTGAACTGTGTCGTAGAATTCAGAGCAAAAAAGGATGCTAGCTATGTAAAGCTGGCTAGAGAACTCCACCAGGACTTTTTGTGCTGATGATAATAGGTAGAGCTGGGAGCATCAGTTACGTAGAATATCGTGTCGTGCTGCCCTGTCTGCAGGGAATGTTTCTGTAGGGGAGAGGGGTGGGTGGGGTGGGGTGGGGTGGGGGGAATGGGGGATGGGGAAGGATGTAGGGGGAAGGCAGGGAATTCACAAAGGTTTTTTGAGCAGTGGGAAAGTGGAGAAATCTTCCTCCAATGGTTTGTGAACTTTCTTTTTCTATTTATAAGTGACTTTAAAAACCTTCCTGTCACTGTTGTTATTTGTTGTAGATTTAGCTATTTATTGTTCAGTGCCTGCATGCTGAAACAATGCCTGTGGTTGTCTTCACGTGTAAGGATTTCTATGGATGGCTGTATGTTTTGCACATTTGTGGTTTTGGCTGTGCTTTGCTGCACAAAAAGGAAAACTTTTGAGTAACAATTTGGAATTTATCTGAAGGGTGGGATGGACAGGGGATAGTGTTTTGTTTGTTTCTTTGTTTTTTAACCCAGCAGGAATAGATAGATGTACTTTAAAAAGAAACCCTGGCAGTAGCTTTTTCGGACTGTCATTCAGTGGGATTCTGTCTTTGCATGTATGTGTATGTCTTTTTTTTTTTTTTAAGAAGTGTGATCCCCATATTTCATTAACCTGATTAGGTCTCTACCACTGTAATCTGGAAAAAGTCCAGTGATTTTTACAGCTTTCTCTTCTCATAGTCTTCTGATCACCTAGAAAATAATACGGAATACTTCTTGTGATACAGAGCATAGACAGGTAAAGGCATTGTCCAAAGTGTATTTATTTATTTATTTGTTTGTTACCCTGTTGGAATGTTTTGCCATAGCTACATTGACTGGAAAGACCGAAGTCTTAAAGACTTAAAAAAAGATTTGCAATAATTCATTTACCAGCCAAATTTGGAAGTGACTGCTTCCACCCTGCTGAAAGTGGGGTTTCCTCTACATTCAGAGTTCCAAGAGTCGTCTTTAGCTTTGGGTATTCTGGAATTTTGTTCTCACACACAGAGACTCTGAAAAAATTCCTCTGGTGTACAGAAGTGTCCTATCTAACCCACAGACACTGAAGAATTTAAAGTAGTTTTGGTTCTGTTTTTAAGTCAGTTTCTAATACATTCTTGGATAGTCTGGAATGCTTGCTTACTTAAACATGCCCTGTGGTGGTTTGGGGGGCTGTTAAGCCATGCTAACCCCATGATTGTCCAGAGGTCTCTGAAGACAGCAAAAACTTGAATAAGCCACTACCCTTATTCTGTCTCACATGGCAGTTATTTCAGAAAGTGGATTCTTAATTACAGCATTTGCAATGTGAGTTTTAGTGAGTGTGTTTGCATTGTCTAGTGCTGGTCGGATGCTTCCTGGTTTTTTTCCCCTACTGAAAACCTCATAGTGGTTGGATGAGAAATAATACTCTACATTCATGTTTAAAATACATTCTATTTGGACCAAAATATTGATCCATTGGAATAAAAAAAAAGTGAGACATGTCCAGCATTCATTCACCCTTTCTTAGCTGTCTCCTTAGCAATGCAAATGTCCCTTTCTTCACCTCCCTCCCCAGCTCAGCCTCATGACTTGCTGAACATTCACCATTTTTACATTGCAGCATTGATAGCCGTGTAGCTTATGATGCAAAGCTGGCTGATGGGTCCTGTGTCACTGCACAGCTTCAGAAAGCAGGATGAATTTGCTGCAGCTGTTTCAAAGTTGTGGTCTGTGCCTTGGATCCTCTATTAATTACTCTGTGGAGGCTGAAGGAAGCCACAGTGAGGGTGGGCCTCTGGCCCTGCGGGGGGAGCCGTTCTCAGCTCCCGCTCTTTGAATTAATGTGGGAATTCTGGCTTGCTACTTGACCATTCCAGCCCTGTGAAACATCCCACACTTTGAAGCAAATGCAATTCACAGCACAGTGCACACAAAAACCTTGGCATAAGACGGGGAAGGTTCTTTTTATTATTTTGTGGACTGGTTGCTGTAGAAACAGATAACAAAGGGCAGCCTTCCACTTCTGGTATAATTGTGCAGGCCCTTTTCTCTGAGTCTGACACCTGTCTGAATAAGAGTGATTAGAGCTGAATAATATCCCTCCCTTGACTATTGAATATGTGGTTCTTATACAAAAACCTGGATAAGTCGAAGTAAAATGTTCATGTTATGTCTGCCTGTTTGCCACTTCATTCTGAGGTTTTGTAAAATTGCATTTTTTTTTCACAATGTGAAACTGAAGGTCAATAAATTATTAGAGATTTTCTCTTCAGTGATCTCGTTTTCATTTTTATGCAGGGGATCTGCACACATTAGTAACTTATGCTCTTTTAGCATCAGTTAGTAGACCTGGAGAATCAACTTTGCAAATTTATTTTCATTGTAAACTTGTTAGTTTTTTGGGATGGGTTCTGTTAGATCAGTTAAAGAATTCAGCCATTTAGGAATATTTCAGAATAACTCACATTCAGAATAGAACACACTATTTGTGTGTCTGGGGCAGAATATTGTAGCCTTTTCTTGGCCTGCCAGCATCACTTGGGACTTTTGACTTTCTACCATAACATGTGGCTTATCATGAAATAAATTGCTGTCTGCCATGGGTAGTAAGATTGCTGGTATTAAAATATGAATGTGTGTGCATGCATGTATGTATGTATGTGTGAACGCGCATATGTACATACACACGTATTCACTGCTACTCCTCAGCTGCTACTTAGCTTGGTTGACTTCTACAGCCTGGATCATTTTCTATTCACAGTTCCTCACGCATGTGTCTACCAAAGGTGATGTACTCAGACATCAACTCAGACATATTTTAAGATTCAGACATGTTTTAAATTAGAAAAGAATTGCTTTTGTATTCTCCAAGTTGTCCATATTGTGGTAGGAAGCAGTTAAGAGTGGGCCGGGTTCCCACTTCTCTCCATCTCACTGATCTCTGCATGTTAAAATTCCTTTAAAGTCAGTGAGTATGCTGCAAATGTATTATTTGCCTGGAGCAGTGCAGAAAGGTAGGAATCTGACCTCTTCAAGTTAACATTAACATAGTCTCTTCAATGTAAGATTTTATAAAGGACTTTGCAGATCTGACAAAGTCCACCTCTCACCCCCTGGAGGTTGCTGCTTCTTTGCATAGGATGCCACTTCCATCATTTATGAAGGACTCCTGATTGTTTTACTGTCTGGTTCAGTGCTGGACATGAATTTTTGCATAGAAAGTAAATACTCCCTAATTAGAGCTACTGGGGATCTCTAAGTAGGCAGAAGGTAATTGCTGTCTTTGGAATTTGACCAAGATGCCAAAGCAGATGCCTCATTCCTTATGAAAGTATATTTCAGTGCCTTGCTGGGCTGGGTTGGTTCATGGCCAATTCTCAGCAGTCTATTGAACCAATGGCATTGCTTCCTTGAAACATCTAAGCCCTCCCTGAGAGTTAATGATTGGCACATGCAAGCCTTAACTTTGCCAGTGACAGACTACTTTGCTGAAGACAGACTACCACATGTGACTGGTGAATGTGAAAGTTAGGTGGCAAGAGTCAACATGGAGTTTGGACTTCTACAACAAGTCTTGGTAGGAAGGGGGCAGAAAATAAGTTTTATATAGTGCCTAATATGTCATGGGGCAAAGTATTTTTTTTGAACAGATGTTCTCATTTGGTACTCACAATAACTCTGCAAAGGTAGGTACTATTATTATTCTTATTTTACAGTTGAGGAAACTGAGGCAAACAGGCTAAGGGACTTTCCCAGGATCCCACAGGTAGTTTCTGAAGCTGAATTTGAATTAAGATCTTCCTGACTCCAAACCCAGTACTCTACTCACTGAGTCACTTAGCTACCTCTCTCTTCTGATGTGAATTGCTGGGTTGAATGCAGGGCAGCTGTTGAGGGTAACATTTATGAATATTATAGTTTTCTGGGATGCTTCCCCACACCTCCCTTGTTAATTACATATCGTCATCACACACCAAGGATTGAAGAATAGGTAGAATGGAAGGGGATACCATCTTCAATTATCCATGATTTTAGAAGCAGTAGGATGGGTAATAACAATGTTCTAGATCAGATGTTCTTAATATTTTTTGGTACCATGGTTCCTTCTGGCAGTCTGGTGAAATCCATCTAATGCATAAAATAGGTAGGATCAAAAAGAAAACCAATTATATTGAAATACAGTTATAAAAATATTTTAAAAAGAAAAACATTAACAGATTCCATTAAAAATCTCAGAGAAGCCGCTTAAGCTTTGGGTTGCGTTATGTGATGGGGGAAGGGCAAAAGATTTACCTACTTGGTTATATTTTACTTAGGCTAATAGGATATTACATTTCTGTTCCCCAAGTTTATGCCAGCTGAGGATTTGAGGGCCTGTGCCATGTAGGTGGTAAGGGAGAATGATGATGATAATAGTGGTAAGTGATTTATAGTGCTTTCAGACTCCCAAAGCCTTTTCCAAAGATTCACTTATTTGATAAGACAGTTAATGGGTAATCAACAATTAATCTGACTCCTTAGTCCTTTACCTTAGAGGACCTTTTTCCCTGATGGGATTGTTGGAAAAAGTCAATCACGAGAGTACCTACTAGTTCCTGGTATAAAATATTAGATGTATTAGGAAAATCAAAGGAATGATGTTTCAGGGTTTCAGAAGACAGTGAAGACTCACTCCATCCTTGTCCAGAATCTTAAATATTCTTTGACAGAGAATTGCCAAAAATGGATTTGGGGAGAACTAATGCTAGAGTGAAAAAAATATAATCAGGTTTTGAGTGAGAAGGATGCTCTGGGGAACACTGTAGCATTAACAATAGGTTAATAATTACTGGTGGGCAAGCATTGTATATGAAGTAAGATGTGATTTATTTAAAACAGGCTTGAAAAAAGGACCTTGAATTAAGGGAGCTCTAATTAGGACAGCTGGTTGGCTGAGGAATGGCAGTTGGTTTTGTTAGGAACTATTCTGAATAAACTCACATATTAGATGAACAAGTTCCACAGTAGTATGCAGTGTAACATCCATGTGCCATTCAGTGCAAAACCTTTGCAGTTAATTCCTGGTCCTTGCCTGTTGTAAGTACATGAAGACTTAAGTACTTTGCCTGTCTGGCACATATTGAGACAAGCCATCTGTCCTATATTTGATTTTAATCATGGTCAATGAATTTTAAATCACTTTTGTCAGAAGGTATAGCAGCTAGGTGAAAGACCCAACTTTAAAGGAAGAAATGTACACAAGGCATGATTATGAATTAAAAGGAATTGGGTTAAATGTACTTAAAATTTTCCATAAGCACGCTTAGCTTTTGCTTTTGGTCAACATTTCTTTGTAAATCTAGGGGGGGAAACCAAATTAGATGAAGAATTCCACCCTCTCTCCCTGTTCTTGCTCCCGTTTCCTCAGCAACCATAAGCTTTGTCTTCGAGATGGAGAAGTACAGACCAGGGAAAGCAGTTGGAATTTCAGCGAAGTCTCTTACTAATCCTTTTATGTTATCAGATTATTTGTTTCGTGAAGAAAAGTTATTTTACACCCAGGGATTCTGGGGATGTTCATAGTAATCTTGAAAAAGCTGGGTAGGTTTTTGAAGAAGATAAGCTATAGTTAAGCACAAGAAAATGACATCTGGCTGGATAATCATGTAATTTTCTACATGTCATTGTAAAAAGGGGGGGGGGAACAACAACAACAACAAAAATACAGACTTTCTGTCTTGAGTTTCCATTGATGAATGGATAAAAAGTCCCTTCCCAGAGTACAGAGGACTTGTATAGACAAATTGGCTGTTGCACTTTTCCTGTTCCCTCCCCATTGACTCTCTTCCATCAGATTACATTCCTCCTAGCACCTAGTGGGGAACACCTTATCTACACTGAGGTCATGGAATTTTTATTTGGGGAGGAGCATGGAGACTTTGAAGGTAGAGCAAGCCTGGGTGGGGTGCCAAATTGGAGGCCAAAAGCAAGGTTCAGCCTTTTTTGGAGAATTGGGAAGAGAAGCATTAAGAGTTGGAAGAGGAGTGAAGAAAAGGAGATAGGAGAGCGCCAGACCTTGCCTCTTCATATATTACCCTTTGAGAGAAAATGGGAAGAAATTCCCTTCTGTATCCCTCTTGGTACCCCTCTTGAGGACCCACAACTCAGGCTATTGTATGCAACTCTTAGTCTTATGTGTAAGTCAGTTACTTGGTAGGTTAGATGGGCTAGTGCCTGTGAATATATTACATTGCATCTATGTGAAAAGGGAGTATGTATTCCAAACAACCAGCTGACAAACTTTTTGAACAACCTGTTTGTAAAATAGTGGATTGCCTATATTTTTATAAGCATGAGAACACACATAGACACAACTCTATACTCACATTATAAACCAGGCTCATAAGTTTTCATTTTAAAAAATTTCTACATTTTTCTCTTTTATTTAAAATTTCAGGTCTCATCTCTCTACATGTCTGTACTTTTTCTTTTCCTAAGAAGTTTTTAACAAACAGCAAGGTTTTTAAACATTCCTGGTTGTAACTGGAAGCCCATTTATTTATTTGCTGGAAAACTAATTAAAATGCTCACTGAATAAACAATAGCTTTAAATGGAACTATAGAAATAAATATAAGACAAACTATGTACAGGGTAAACAAATTAGCCTCAGTTTTGTAGAGGTGGCTCGCAGAGGAACAGTGACTCTTTCAAAGAGAATTAAGCAAATGGCCTTAAGGTAGCTGGTAGGAAGGAAGCAGGGTGTTTTCCGTAGCAGCCCAGTGTAACAAGGCACTTAGGCTTGAGCCTTGTTGCCATGGGCTAGGCCAAGGTAGAGGGTTATGTAAGTGGGGAGGGTTGTACTCACCAGGTGAGGTTGTAGTTAGAGGGAAGTCCCTGAAATAGAAGTGGAGGGGGGGGTAGGGTGAAAGGCATGCCCGCCTTTCCGGCTGAGAATATCAGCAAACCACAGAGTGGGGCGCAAGCCAGCAAACAGGGTATGACAGTGGTAGGTAATTGGTAAGGAAAGGCTTTGAATTCTTCCAGTAGATTTCAATCTAATCTAATTGCTTGGGATCCCTGTGCACAGGGGTTGATTTTATTCATTTAGAGAACAATTATTAAGCACTTACTATGCTGGGAGACTATAAACCTCAGATGAGATACATTTCCTGTCTTCGAGAATTTTACAGTGTTTTAGGGGATTGAATCAATCAGTTAACCAGAATTCATTATAGCGCCTACCATATTCTCATCTTAAAGAATGGAAGCATTTTGAGAAAAAGGACTTTAATTTTTGTGATCATATCCTCAGAGCTGCTTCTCTCAGCCCCTGAAATATAGACAATATGCTTTTATGTAAGTATATAAAATAAATGCAAGGTGATCTTCTTGGGAGTCCACTATAAGCAGAGGGCATCAGGAAATCCTTTCCATAAGAAATGGGCCTTGAATTTCATTTTTGAAGGAAAAAAGAGGTGGAGGTGGGAAGGGACTGCCTTCTAGTGCTAGGGGAGAGAAGGGGGACAGGCAGTGCAAAGGTGGATGATGGAATGTCAGGTATGGGGAAGAGCAGCAAGAAGGCCAATCTGGCTGAACCACAGAATGGGGAATAATGTATAGAAAAGGTGAAAAGGAAAATTGAAGCCTAGTTGTGAAGAGCTTTAAAAATTAAGAAGTTTATATTCGATCCTAGGGGTAATGTCATTCAGTCGTGTCCAACTCTTCATGGGGTTTTCTTGGCAAAGCTGCTGGAGTGGTTTGCCATTTCCTCCAGCTCATTGTACAGATGAGGAAACAGGTAAACAGGGTTAAGTGACTTGCCCAGGGTCACACAGCTAAGTAAGTGTCTGAGGCCAAATTTGAACTCAGGAAGATTTTTTTTGAGGGGATTAGGCCACCTACTTGCCCTTCAAGTAATAGAGATAATTTTTTTTTTTTGAGAGGATGAGATCTACAATATCTTTCCTGTAGGGAAATCTCATTGGGGAAACTCCCTCCACTGATACAAATCAGCACTCATTCCACAGCTGACTGCCTTAGAGTTGCCTGGGGCACTGAGGATTTGTGTCTTGTTCAGAATCATCTGGCCAGGATATGTCAGAGGTGGAACTGGAACCCAAGTCTTTTCCCCGTTCCACTCCACGCAATGTGATAACAGGGGCGAAGCAGCTCTGTAAGGTTCAAGAGAGCAGAGGCATCAGGAAAGGCTTGAAGGGTGAGATGGTATTTGAGGTAAGCAGGTAAAAGGGACTCCTTAGCTGAATAATTAATGATCCTGAGTACATCTTAAAGATGATCCTGATAATTCTCTTTACATTTCTCTAGTTCTACGTCAATCCCAGATTCAAAGGGAAAGGGAGGGACTCAGTCTCAAAGCAGGTGCCACCCTGAGGGCCCGCCTCGGGCAACAGCTCCTGGTAGGAAAATTGGAGAGACCTGGGCATGACGAGGGAGGGAGAAGAAATAATGCTAGAAAGGACCTCCCTGGGAGTGTGGTGCTGGCCCTGCTGGGAAGAGGCTGGGAAGAGTCTGGGCAGAACTTCTGCTGCTCCACCCATCCCGCAGTGCACACCGGCTGAGAGCGGCAGCTCAGGAGAGAGGGGAGTGGTGGGCCACCCGTCTTCACGGGGCTGAGCAAAGCTCCGAGACCTTTGCAGAGCTATAGGCAGGCGAGGGAGGCAGGGATTATTGCCACTTTGTGGAACTATGTTCTGGCTACGGCGGTGAGTAGATGCAACCTCAGGGTACGCAATGGGAAGAGAGCTTTTTCTGATTGACATCTTAAAGGCCCACAAAATACTAGGGGGAGTACACAGTGCACCACAACTAGTCACCTCACAAGATGCCAAGCACGCAGTAAGTGCTCAAGGTACGTTGAGCAAATGGACCGAAATCCTAATAATCGCTAGTATTTATATAGTGCTTTAAGGTTTGCAAAGTACTTTACATATTATCTCATTAGATCCCCACAACTTTCTGAGGTAGGTGCTTTTATTACCTCCTTCCCCATTTTACAGATGAGGAAACAGAGGCTGAGAGACTAAATAGTGACTTGCTGGATACTGATCATATATATATAGCTAGTGAGTGACTAAGGTGAGATTTGAATGTGTTGTCCTGACGCTCCATCTCCTGTGCCACTGCGTGCCTTAACATACATATCCATCCATCTATACATATCTATATCTCCATATATAGATATCCACATATCTATACATATATGAATGTGTATATGCATCCGCGTGCGCGCACACACACACACACACACACACACATGCTTGCTGTTATTCCTAGCTAAATCAGCTCTAAAAGGAATGAACACATCTAAATTCCAAAGGGGAAAATGGATTGATCTGATGTATTTCCAGTAGTTTTGAAGTTATTGGACCTGGATTCAAATTCTACCTCTGATGTTTACCACCTGTATGATCTTGGGCAAGTTATTTAACTTCCCTGGACCTCAGTTTCCTCCTCTGAGAAATGAGTGGTAGACTAGATGACCTCTGAGAGCTGTTCCAACTCTAAATCTATGTTCCTTTTTCTTTTCTCTCTCTCTCTCTCTCTCTCTCTCTCTCTCTCTCTCTCTCTCTCTCTCTCTCTCTCCCCCTCCCTCCCTCCTTCCCTTTCTTTCTCTTCCTTCCTTCCTTCCTTCCTTCCTTCCTTCCTTCCTTCCTTCCTTCCTTCCTTCCTTCTTGTATAAGGGAAAAAAAAGATCAGGCAGATTTTTTCCAATGCCGAACCCCAGAGTGGATTTTCAGGAAGTAGAGCATGGAAATCATATATAAAATATAATCTGGCCTCAGACACGTCCTAGCTGTGTGACCCTGGGCAAGTCACTTAACTTTGTTTGCCTTAGTTTCCTTACCTATAAAATGAGCAGGAGAAAGAAATGGCAAACCGCCCCGGTAACTTTGCCAAGAAAACCCCAAGTGGGGCCAGAAGAATTGGACAGAACTGAGATGAATGAACAACAACAATAACAAGACCCCTGCTTTGGACTGGGCAGCTCACCTTCAAGAAGTTCTCATAGGTTAATGATGTCTGGGCTCTCTGTATTCTACTTTTTTCTCTTCTTATAGGTTCTGCTATTTGCCAGTTGGAGACTGACTGAAATGCCACTTCCTTTGAGAAAGTCTTAACTCATGTATGGGAAACTGCCTGAAATGAGATCACTAAAACATCTCTCTTAAATTTTATGCCAAATTCCGTGGATGATGGATGAAAATTGTACCCTAAATCCAGGCCAGTTTAACAGCTGGCCTTTAGGAAAAAAAAATGTACTCAGGACATTTTCAGTTTCATCTACAATTTTTACCATTTCCCCTATCACTTTCTTAAGTCTATTCTAAATAATAATAAAAAAAATAAATCAAGCCCTGATCTGTAATGTTTGCTGATTTCCAAGGAGTAAATGGTCACACTAAAAATTTTATAATCAGCTCCAGTGAGCTGGGTCCAGCTGGTTCCCATACACCCCTGTCAGTCCTTCCTTGAGGTCTGTGCACTGTGGTGGTGTTGGGGGGGGGGAAGGGAGGATAGAGATGGAAATATATGCCCTATCTGACTGAAAGACAAGCGTCAGTGAAAATGGGCTGGTAAGATAGAGGTTTTGAAGAGGAGGAAGATGACCCATCCCGTTTATGCATCCTGCTTGTTACTTCATTTGCCCCTTGATGACCAAGCCCTGACTTGTCAATCCCCAACTCCAGTGGCTCCCTATTACTTCTATTATAAAATACAGATTCTTCTGTTTGACATTTTACAATCTGGTCTCAGCTTATATTTCCAGCCTAATTATGTATTAAATAGTTTATTTCTATCACTTGCTGTATTTCTTCTTTTTTTGAGGAAATCAGGGTTAAGTGACTTGCCTAGGGTGGCACAGCTAGTGTATGAGGCTGGATTTCAACTCAGGTACTCCTGACCCCAGGGCCACTATTCTATATACTGTACCACCTGGTTGCCCCCTCCGTTGTTTGTTGTAAACTTGAAGGGGGGTATAGAATCTGAAGACCAAAGATTTTTATTATTTCCCTCTATATTGCTCTGGAATACAACTTGTGAATACTCTCATTTTATGGATTCTGCTGCAGCAGAAAGTCCTGGATTTAGAGTAAGAAAACCTGAGTTCAAATCTCATCTCTATCAATGACAGTGTAATTTTTTTCCCCCTTTTGGCTAGGCAGTGGGGTTAAGTGACTTGCCTAGGGTCACACAGCTAGTATGTGTTATGTGTCTGAGGCCGGATTTGAACTCGGGTCCTCCTGAATCCAGGGCCAGTGCTCTATCCACTGTGCCATCTAGCTGCCCCTATGACAGTGTAATCTTGAACAAGTCATAATATTTCTGAGCCTAAACTTCTTCATCCTTAAAACAGGAGTCAATCAATCAATCAACAGGAATTTATTAAGTGCCTACTATTTGCCAGGTACTGTGCTAGGTATTAGGGATATAAACAAAATGATTTCTACCCTCAAGAAGCATTTCTTACGTTAGGGGAAATAACATGAACATATATAACTATATGTTCATTATATACAAAATAAATATATGAACAAGATAATTTGGAAAGAGAAGATGCAAAGGAAAGGAAACTGATAGCTGGGGGGATAAGGAAAAGCCTTATCTAGAAGCTTTGAAGGAAACTAGGAATTCTAAGTAGAGATAAAGAGGGAGTATATTCTAGATATGGGCGATAGCCTATGCAAAGAAATAGAAACTGGAGATGGAATGTTATGTGTGAGAAACAGTAAGGAGGCCAGTTTAACTGGATCATTGAATAGAGGAATGATGAATAATTAGTCTGGAAACATTGGTAGAAATGATTGTGATAGGTTTTAAATGCTTCTTGAAAGAGCTCATATAGGACACTAGAGGTGATAAGAAAGCAATGGAATTTATTGAGTTTAGAAGTGACATGGTCAGATCTATGTTTTAAGAAAATTACTGTGGCAGCTGGGTGAAAAATGAGCCAATTAGGAAACTATTGCAATAGTCCAGATGAGAGATAGGGCCTGGACTAAGGCGTTTGTGTGAGTGGGGGAAAGAGGATGAATGAAAGAGATGTAGAAGTAGAAATGACAAGATTTATTAATTGATTATATATGTAGAGTAAGGAAGAGTGAGAAATTGAGAATGACTTCCAAGATTGCAAATCTGTGTGAGTGGAAATTTGAGGGTTGAGACAATGTACCAGAATCTTCAGGATGCAGCCAAAACAGAACTTAGGGGAAAATTTATATCTCTAAATACTTTCATCAATAAAACTGAGAAAGAACAGGTCAATGGATTGGGCATGCAAAAACTAGATTGGGCATAAAACACTAGAACACCAACAAATCAAACCTTCCTAATTAAACATCAAAAATATAAACCCCTAAAACCACAGAAGCAATTAAGAAAATTGAAAACAAAAAGCCCACTGAATTAATAAATAAAGCTATGAGCTGGCTTTTTGAAAGAAAAAATAACTAAATAGACAAAACATTAGCTAATTTGATTTTAAAAAAGAAAATCAAATTACTGTTGTCAATGAAGAATAAATAAAAGAAATTGTTAGAAACTATTTAACCCAATTATATGTCAATAAAACTGTAAATCTACATGCAAAGAATATTCACAAAAATATAAAATTCCCAGATTGATTGAACAAGTAATTGAGGACAAATAACTCAATTTTAGAGAGGGGGGAAGCCATAACTGAGCTATAAAAGAAAAAAAAAACCAAGACAAAGCGTATTTGTAGGTGAATTCTGTCAAATATTTAAAAAACAATTAATTCCAGTATTACAAATGCTGCTTGAAAAAAATAGAGGAGTCCTACCAAATTCCCTCTATGATACAAATGTGTTCCTAATACCTAAACCACAGAGAGTCAAAATAGAGAAAGAAAACTATAGACCAATATCTCTAATTAATATCAAAGCAAAGCTTTAAAATAAGGATTTAACAAGAAGATTAACATATCACAGAAATTATATACAATGATCAATTTGGTTTTATATCTGGGATTCAGGGCTGGTTCAACATTAGGAAAACTATAAACATAATCAACCAGGATAATGACAAGAACCACCCCCTCCCAAATCATAAGTTTATGTCAATAATTGCAGAAAAAGCTTTTTTAAAATAAGATATAGCACCCATTCCTCTTTAAAACACACACACAGACACACACACACACAGACACACACACATAACGTACACACACACACACACAGACACACAAATATGGGAATAAACAGATCTTTCCTTAATATTATAAGTATTATACATCTAAAACCAATAGCTAACCTCATCGGTAATAGGGATAAACTAGAGGCTCTTTCAGTAAGATCAAGGGTAAAACAAGGATGTTCATTATCACCATTATTATTAGACATGGTACTATAAATGCTGGCTGTAAGCAATAAGGCAAGAAAAAGAAATTGAGGGAATAAGCATAGGCAAAGAGGAAAGAAAATTATTGCTTTTCATAAATGATTTGATAACTTGTTTAGAAAACCCTGGGAAACTAATCAAACAATTAATTCAGGAGCAGCTAGTTGCTGTAGTGGATAGAGCACCAGCCCTGGAGTCAGGAGGACCTAAGTTCAAATTTAGCTTCAGATGCTTACTAGTTATGTGGCCCTGGGCAAGTCACTTAAACCTGATTGCCTTTAAAAAAAAAACTTCAGTCAAGTTGCAGGATAGAAAATAAACCCATAAATTAAAACATAAATTATTAGCATTTCTCTGTATTACAAAAAAAAATCCAGGAGGAAATGACAGAAGAAAGATTCAATTATATTTCTTAACTTCTCAATGGATGGAGGAGTGGAGAAAATAAGCGGAGAAAAATTGATTGTTAATGGATAGACAAGGTAATAAAATAAAAATTACAATCCTCCTAAATTAATTAATTAGCCATCACCATAGGTATAAAACTGATGAAGAATTACTTTGTAGAGCTAGAAAAATAACAAAATTTACCTGGAGGAACAAAAGAGCTAAAATCCCAAGGGAAATAATGCTAGAAAGTAGGAAATAAGGGGCCAAGTAGCACCAGACTCTATACCTTTAAGTATACTATTCTGCTACTATGTACATATTATATTATTAACTATAATACTAATCAGTAATTATCAAAACAATTTGGTACTGGTTAAGAAATAGAAGAATGATTAATGGAACAAATTAGGCATAAAACATACAGAAGCAAATGTGTATAGTAACCTAATGTTTGGTAAACTCAAAGATCTCAACTTTTGGGATAAGAGCTCAAATTTGACAAAAATTGTTTGGAAAAATGGAAAGCACTCTGGAAGAAACTAGGTCTAGTCCAACATCTCACCCTGTATACTAAGATTGGCTCCAAATGGATACATGACTTAGACATTAAGGGTGAAATCATAAACAAATTAGAGGAGCAAAAAAGAAATTACCTGTCAGATCTATGGTTAGGGGAAGAGTTGAACAAATAAGAGACAGAGAGAATCACATACGGTAAAATGGACAATTCCAATTTAAAAAAAAAATGTAAATTTTTGCACAAACAAAACAAGTGCAACCAAAATTAGAAGGGAAAGAAGTAAATAGGAAAAAAAATCTTTGCAGCAAGTTTGTCTGATAAAGGTCTTATCTTTAAGATATATGGTTCAGATTTATAAGAATAAGAGCTACAATTCAATTGATATGTGATTGAAAGACATGAATCAGTACTTTTCAGAGGAAGATATTCAAGCTATCCATAACCATATGAAAAAATGCTTTAAAACTAAAAATTACAGAAATATAAATTAAAATAACTCTTAAGTTTCAGTTCATACACATCAGATTGGCAAAGTGAACAAAAAAGAAAAATAACAAATATTGGAAGGTCTATGGGAAAACAGATACATTAATGCCCTGTAGGTGGAACTGTGAACTGGTGTAGTCACTCTAGAAAGCCATTTGGAATTATGCCCTTAAAGTCATTAAGTTGTATGTATTCTGACTCAGTGATATCAATAATAAGACTATACTCCAGTGAGATAAAAGAAACAGGAGAAGGACCCATATATGCAGCTATTTATGTCAGTTCTTTGTATGGTGGCAAAGAATTGGAAACTGAGGAGTTCCCATCAATTGGGGAATGCCTTGAACAAGTTATGATATATGAATGTGTTGGAATAAGGAATTATGGAGATGGATGGTTT